TTATATCCTGTGTAGCTGGATATAAGTGAAATTTTGCAGTAAAGTATAACCGGCCGCTTACGCGCCCGATTGTACTTACTGCAAAATTTCGCTTATACCCAACTGCCCAGGATACAACTATTACTTATAGACAGCTAAAAACATATTATATAAAGGTTTTCGTAGGCAAACTATAGCAAAAAAAACAAAGCTTTGTAGAAGGCAAAAAAACTTTAAAAGAAAGCAACCTGTTCCTGCACGAAAGAATGATTGGGGCATGATTCTGGGGTGCTATCGACGCATCTATAATTAAAAAATAATAAAGTATTATGAATGGTTGGACTCTAGCGTCGAGAACCACCTCATGTGATTGCCTTTCCAACCAATGAGATACACCTTTACGTAGTGGTTGGGACAAGTAAGAGAAATAATCTCCGAAACCAAGTATCTCAAACTTGTTATCGTTTTTAATAATATAGGTTTATTAGCATATAAAGATATATTTAAAAAACTTTAATATTAATTATATTCGATTCATCTGGTACTGTAGTTGGTGATGGGTCGGTGGAACAGAATATACTTTTTGTAATGTATAATAATAATAAAATTATTTAATAGCACTAAAAGATATTGTAATTCGATATTTTTGAATAGAACCAATAGCAAATCATTTTAGCGTATATCGGGGATCAATCAAGGTATCTATTAAATTACTTTACATATAGTATACGATAACTAGGTCATAATCAGTGTTGTCAGCAATAGACGAATAAAACAATAGGACAATAGAATAGAGCAATAGAATTTAGAATAGAATAAAATTTTTATCAATATATTAATATAGCAAAAAAACAAATAGAACAATAGAACAATAGAATTTAGAATAGAATATAATTTTTATCAATAGAACAAAAAATTGACAACACTGGTCATGATATAACGTGAAGATCTACGCGCACGTTAGCAAATTTATAAAAGATCTGGCGGATCAAAAAAAAATATTTTTTAGAATTTATACGTTCTAAGATGCTTGAAAGCATTTTCACCATAAAACTCTCAACAAATAAATTTTTTAAACATGGCGTTCATGATTAAGTTTTTAAATCAACGGATGTTAATAAATATTTTAACAGATTTATATATATTTCTATTACAAAATAAAAATTAAACTCGGAAAGAAAAAAATTTTATATTATTTTGATGCATGTCAACAATCAGTATATTAAAATATATATATTACTTTAAGCGGTTAAACTATGATATAGAATAGGCACTATTTCATTCAAAATTGTTAATAACAGATTACAAACCTTATCGTCTGTTTCCCATATTTGGCATACCACCGAGACCCATTTGCTTCATCATGTTTTGCATTTGACTTAAATCTGGCATACCTCCCATGCCACCCATCTATAAATAAGAATCCATTAATAATGTTACATGCAATAACGAAACAATAATCTTGAAATACAACTAACCATCTGTCGCATCATATTGTTCACACCTGGCATACCACGAGGAAGCATCTGAAATGATATGGATTTAATAAATTTGGAAAGTAATTTCGCAACAATGTTCATATTATGGTAAATTAATCTTACCCTTTGCATCTGTGCCATTTTCTGTTGTAGTTGCTGAGGAGACATCTTTGGATCCATTCCGGAACCCATTCCTTTAAAGGCAAGATATTATTTAATGTTAACGAGTTTGTGAAACTAAATGTAAGAATCTTTTTTTCTTACCTTTGAGCAATCCTTTGTTACCACCAAACTTCTTGACCATTCCTTGAAATTCCTTATGTTGAATCAGAAGCTCCTCAACCTCCCTAACAGTTGTACCAGAACCTCGTGCCACACGCAGTACGCGAGAAGGCTGTTGTATAAAAATTTTGCCATCAGAATCAAGTTCTGATTCATTCATACTGTCCATTATAGTCATCAATCTATAAATTAACTATGTTAAATTAATACAATTCAGTAAATATAATATCGTTACACGGATAAATACCTTTTAATTCGTTGTGCACCTAGTTCGTCTGAACCTTCAAGATTCATCTCTGACATACCTGGCATCATTTGCATCATTTTTGACAGCGGACCCATTTTAGATATGTTTTGAAATTGTTCATACATATCTCTGATAGTAAAAATACCTAAGCGAGTATACATTCAAATTAATTTCTTATTAAAAGAAAGAAAAATCCAGAAATTTACTAAAGTTTATAACAAACCCTGCTCCAAATTTTTCATCAAATTCTTGTTCTGGTCTAATTTTAAATCCTGTACAGTTTCAAAAAGACCAGTCATATCACCCATTCCTTTTAAAAAAATTATTAACATAAAAAAAATAAATATATTAGTGATGACAAAGAATTTAACAATATTAACATCAGCCAAAGACTAAAAACTAACCCAACATTTTTTGTACAAATCGTCTAGGTTCAAATCTTTCCAGGTCATGAATGTGCTCACCAGTACCAATAAAAATGATTGGACTATGTGTTGCTGCGACACTTTAAATATATTTAACAATATCAATGGGAAAAGAAAAGCTTAAAAAACAAGATGTACTTTATGTTTGAGCACAATATAAACTCATACCAATGCCTTACGCTGATATAGCCCCGCCACCCTTTGCATGGCCATCCATTTTAGTTATTATAATTGATCCAATATCTGCAGCTTCGTGGAAAGCCTTTGCTTGAGATTCAGCAGCCTGACCGATTGTTCCATCCATTACGAAAATAGTATTATTAGGACTCTAGAATATGGATAACTTTATATTAATTTGTTATTATTATTATGATCATTTCAAAAATATAACTTACAACTACAGCAGAAATTTGTTTCATTTCTTCAAATAATTCTGCTTCTTGTTTATGTCTTCCAGAAGTATCCACAATTATTATTTCAAAACCCTCCTTTTTAAATTTTTCAACACCTTCATGGGCTATCTGAACAGGATCAGTTTCAGTGTAGCTATGATAAGTATGAAAGCATGTTAATAATAATAATTTATAAGATTCTGAAATGAAGAATTTGGCTAACGAACCTCCCATAATATGGTATTTTTGCTTTAGTAGCATTTTGTTTCAATTGATCAAATGCACCAGCACGAAACGTATCAGCACATACTAGGCATACTTTCCAACCTTTGCGTTGATAATGGTACGCCAACTATCAAAAATAAAGTATTAAAGAAAAATTAATTTTAACAGAACTATTACAAGAAAAAAAAAATGGAAATAATGATAAATGATAATATACTGCACTTTTGTACAAGTCGTTGTTTTACCACTGCCCTGCAAACCAACGAACATTATAATATTGTTTGCACCTTTTTTTGGTTTATATGGCTCGCTACCAGGTTCAACAAGACTACAGAGCTCATCCATGACAGCCTAGAAATGTTACCAGCAATGAAACATACTAGAATGAAGTGTGCATCAAAAAATTCTGGAATAATTTAAATTATCAACGTACTTTCTGTATGACTCTCCTCTTATTAATTCCAGCAGCGAGTTCTTGAATGTTTACAGCTGTTTTTACATTATTTCTTAAATTTCCGACTAAACGAACGTTTACGTCAGCTTCCAATAGTGCATGACAGATATCTTTCAATACTGCATCGAGTACCTTTGGGTAATTGTAAAGAATTATTCATTTTGATCTAGTTTGCATAGACAAAAAAAAAAGAGACATACTTTCTCGTCGATCACTGGCTCTTTATTGATTTTAGCAAGAGCTGCATTGATCCGACGGCCGAGATCGGCTAACACCATTGTCTAAAAGGAATTCAGTGTCTGGGCTTGGAAAAAAAATAATATCGAAACGGAAAAACCAAATTCGAAAAATTTAATATTTAGAATTGGAACGGTTCAACCGTTTAAAAATTGTTCCATAGTTCTGGGCCGAATTATGTTGGTCATGTGCCATAATTACTTTAATGCCGGCTAAATTAAATTGTTACGATTAGAAAATTTTGGCGGTTCCAATAAAAGGTATCCTTTGTAGAATTTTTTATATTGTTTTTTAGGGATGTTACAGTCCGGTCTGGGGTAAAAAACCGCGGAATGAACCATGATTCATGAACCAGTCTATTAAATTAGTCTAACCAAGAGTTAGAACAATTGTTTTTTTTTTAATATACAGTCAATCCTCTCTATAATCCTATAATCACACCACTATATAAGCACCTAATTTTGTAAAACAATTTATTACGTAAAAATATATAGAATCTCTTTATATAAGCACATTTTTTAAAAAAGTT